CAGCGCCCCCGCGACCCTTGTGAGGATAAAGCGGATCGGAAAATGGATGGATGACCTATGAACAGTTCAGCTGAAGAAAAGTCCCTTTGTAAATATGTAGATACAGTAATCCCTCATTTATTGCGGTTAATGGGGACCAAAACCACCCGCGATAAACGAAAATCCGCGAAGTAGCATCCAATTAACATAAACGGGTAAAAAAAATTGTTTTTTTTTTTTTTTTAATCCGCAAACGGTCCGCGAAGCTGCAAAACAACAGCGAGTCACATAGAGCAACATATACAGCAGTGGTCTTCAACTAGAAATGCTGTAGGTCCACTTTTTTTTTTTAATAAGACCAAGGTCCGGTCCCATGCACGGCGGTCATGGGGAGCAGGGCTATATGCCCATTTAGTATGGTTAAGCCAAGCTTATACAAATCAACACTCCTCACAACCAACCAATAATGGGGTGCATGAAAATAACAATTATTCACTTTGCCAGTACACAGCAAATAATGAGAGGTATTGTGTTGAGGCACAGGAACTCTTTTATTTTGTTAAGTTGTGCCTGCTTAATAATAGAAATAGCCCTTTTAGGGAAATAAGACAATTTTTACTTTAACTTTGTTAAACAGTAGTTGTCTTTTTTTTCCCTTAATTTAACAAAACAATTTAACAAAATACTCATTTTACCAAAATAAATACGAAACATGAAAACAAAAATATCCTTTTCATTTGTACAATTCCCCTTTTCACATCCCCTCTGAAATCACTGAAAAATACAGTATATCAGAAGAGGAGTTAAGAACCATTTTAAAAACTGACACAAGGGAGCACAGGAATGTGCAGTGCTGTTCTTCCACTAAAGGTGAATGCAATGTTTGAGGCATGCAAATATTATTGAGGACGCCATTGTGATGTTCGTTTACCATGTTGCGGTGTTCTGCTGTTAAACAGCTGCAAAGATCCCCGGGTAGACGGGAGCAAAACTGCACACAATCGAAACCTCCCGCGATTCGTCTTGTCTAATTGTCTGTGTGCAGCTCTCCTGGACTGAAGCTGTGAGCACAACTGTGGCGTCGCGCATGCGTCTGTTTCCTGACACAATCATCCATTTTGAATGCGTGTGTGTTGGGATAAACGCGTGCTGACGCTTATGTATGGGCACACCTTAAGTTCAGAGGAGCCAATCAGCGCATCGTTATCGCCGACATGCCCTGCTCAGCCAGGGTCTCCAGTTAGTCAAACATTATACAACACACAGTCGCGCTGCTGCGGTCTTCTGCAATACATCTGTTAGTGCACGCAAAGAATACAACGGATAATTTTAACAAGCGATCGCGGTAATGCGCAGATCATAGTCCACAAATATAAAATGTATAACGTAAAAATCACTTTATAATTTATTATTTTATACAATTTGCTGAGGGTCCGGACAGAGGAGGTCCGGACAGAGGAGGTCGGCGGTCCGGTCGTGGATTGCGGTCCGCCAGTTGAGGAAGGCTGATATACAGTACTGTACTCCATGTATATGTAAAAAAAAAAAAAAAAATTATATGTTTGAAAAACTCAGAGATGCACTGAACCCGCGATAAACGAACCGCAAAGTAGCGAGGGATCACTGTATTTATACTGTACAGTTCCTTTTCTGTAAAAGTTTTTAAAAAAATTAAGAGTGCAAACAACACATGGTCATTTAAGAATATATGTGACAGATTTTTTTTTTAATTGAGGAAAGAGCAGGCAGAACATTTAACACATTTTATTAACGCATTGTGGAAGCAAATTAAACAGAATCGTACAATGCTAACTTAAAGTCACTTATTTATCGAGAGGATTTACTGTATTTGTCAGTTAGGAAACTTCTATGCTAAAGTAACTCATTGGAGAGGGTTTGGAGCACGTGGTGTGTAAACATTACAAACCACAGAATGAAAGGAAATAAGAGAAGAGCATTTCATGAAGCAGACACTTTATTAACGTTATCGATCATCATAAGTGAAGTCAGGTCAATTTTATTTCAAAAGTGCCAAATAACATCAAATTGGAGCAGATCCAGAACAACACTCCTATTACTATTTTTATATGGAACTTACTGTTTAAGAGGACTATTGACAATATTTTAAATATATTGCTATAATGCTGGAGTGTTTTTCAGGTCAACAGTTGGTCAACCTAAGTGTAGAAGTAGTCAGTGTTTTAAATTTTGGTGCTGTTTTTACAGCATAATGCATTGTTTTAAATTGTGTGTTCTTTCAGCATTCGGCTGTGAGAAAAGTGTTTTATTTATTATTTTGGGAGGGCTACTTTGAAGGGAACATTCGATTAGTCAGTGTGTTTAAAGAATAAAAGTGCAAATATCAATGGCATCTGATTCCCTGAAACAAGGGTTAAGCCAATTAAGTATCAAAATAATGATACTGTACTGTATGCTGCCATATTTTGGACCAGTTTACATAATCACCGTGGCCTGTTACGTGATTTGTTTCCTGGTTTGTTGTGCTATAAAAATGCCATGTGGTGCCCATAATTCAGATAGAACTCCTTAAAGTTAGGTTTCATGTCCTTCCTTCGAGAAAGAAAAAAAGAGACATTCGGTCTTTACAGCCCAATGGCTCCAGGGAGACTCCAATACAGCTTCTATGGAAACTCTACGTTGGAAAACCAGGACCAATTGAAATTGATGTGGGCATGTGCAGACATGTGATAATCATTCTCTGAAAATATTCGAAAAAAACTCACAGTAATTTGTATTCAATTGTTGTCATAACTTTACCTTTCCTAGTTGCCTCATAGGGAGAACACATTACGTCAATTATTGTACAAACAAACAAACAAACAAACAAACAAACAAAAATAATCAATTGTCATGACTATTTATGTACACCTGGATGTAAATACCCTGATCATCCATCCATCGATTGCTGGAGCCTATCCCAGCTGTCTTCGGACAGTAGGCGGGGGACACCCCAAACCGGTTGCCAGACAATCGCAGGGCACACAGAGACCAACAACCAGCCGCGCTCACACTCACACTCACACTCACACCAAGGGTCTATTTAGAGCAGGGGTGGGCAAACGTTTTGGCTCAGGGGCCACAATGACTTTTAAAATTTGACAGAAAACCGGGTCAGCACAAGCTACGGTACATATAAAAAAAAAAAAAAAAAAACAGCATTTGTTGATAGTCCATATCAAAGATCAACAGAACAAAAGCATGAAAGTATTAACATACTTTTTTAAAAATGAGAACAGTGTTGTTGATCATCCATTTTAGCCAGTGTATTGCTGCAGATGGTTTGTGATCTGACCAGTAGAAGTAGAGGATACACTGTTTTCTAGTTGAGGAATCATATTTGTGGTGTCCAATCTTTCTTTATAACAGAATTTCCTTCTGTGGGAAACAACTATGTTACATGTCCTGTATGAACGTCCAAGTATGTTAACAACATACATGTGTGACAACACAAGCAACAATATGTTGCCCAAAAACTGTTTATGACACAAAAACTGCAGAATGCAGTACAGGTATACGAACAAAATATAGAATAAAAAAAATAGGACTATCTGCTACAAAATGAGACTAGTATCAGATCTTGGTAGCTTTTCTTTCCACTCACTTACCGTCTCTAACTTGACCACCCCGCACGTTGCTCAGCTGATGTCGTACAACCAACTTCTGAAGCCAGCTACGGAACGCTTCAAAGTCCTCGACGCCCATAGTTAGCGCTATAGAGCTCGCCTACTCTCTTTTCAGCGCTCCAGTTTGCGGAAGTTTTTTACCACGATAACAGTCAAACCATTCTAGGAAATGTTCATTGACTCGACTGTCCGTCGAGCCGCAAGCAACTCACTCTGAGCAGGGGAATTGCCAGAATCGGACTGAGAAAAAAATTGCTTCCTTGTTTTTCAAAGTCTCTAGATTTGAATCTTTCCGACTCCAAGCATCTCCTGAATGTTTTGTACTTTGTAACCTGCTTCACTGAATTGGATGTATTTCACCTTCTCTTCCGTGGTCATTACTGTTCCTCTTTGTTGTTTTGGATGCAATGATCTACAGGACGTAAATGTTAAATGAATGAAATAAAAAAACGTCCGCAACTCCAGTAAAACTCACTGGAATAAAGAGTCATTTACATGTCGCCGTTTTGGATCCAATGATGAAATGGATGAAATGAAAATAAGTGCAGCGCAGACACAGTCATTTCATCGTATGGAGCAGGAGTTGCTTGAGTCGGCGGTACTGCGAGCTTCCGTATGGCTTCCGGGTTCCGGAACTTCCATTGTTATGAATCGATTGTTAATGTAATATTGTCGTAGAAAGTTTAATGCATACGTTTTTTTGTTTTTTTTTTACCGGGTTTAAGAATTTCCATTTGACAGAGGTCCTTAGGTGGTAGATAAAATCTCTCTCCCTCTGTCCCCCCCACCACCCTCCCGTGCTCTGCAACTTCAAATCAATGCGCCACCTGGCGTTGAAATGCCTGTCATTACAAGTCCAAATGAAATTAATGCAATTATTCACATCGAACCTTAATTGTGTACCAACATTTGGCAGGCCGGATTCAGGGGGTTCAATAAGCCTGCCATGCATGTTTTTGGAATGTGGGAGGAAACCGGAGTACCCGGAGAAAATCCACGCAGGCCCGGGGAGAACATGCAAACACCACACATGAAGGCCGGAGCCGGACCGTACCCACGACCTCTGCACTGTGAGGTCGACGGACTAACCAGTGGCCCACCGGGCCACCCTTGTTCACATTATATGTTAAATTTCAATCTATAAGGGTTACCATGACTTACTGAAAAATAATAAAAATTAAAGAGTGCATACTTAAATGGACAAGTAACGGCGTCCAAAATTTTAGACGCAATCAACATGAAGCAAACGGATCAAAGAAAGAATGGGCGTTAAGTTTGAAACGACCACACCCACTCTCCGCCTAAACAGCCAATCACGTTTGCAAAAAGACGATCAAAACCCCAGCGCGCCTTGTCGTCCCTGCCCAGCCGGTGACGTCATGCTGCAAAAGCTCTGTCTGGCAGCAAAAGGACTAAGACAACAGCAACAGAGAATCTAAGGACGAGGAGGATACTTACCAGGAAGGATTAATACATTTGTCGTTCTGGAGTACATGCGCCTTTTCTCTGATGATTTTGGCGCAACTGCTGGGATCGAATCGGTACTTTTTTAATATTTGGGAGGACAAAGTGGGCGAATGTTTTTATTCTCCTGTCACTGTTATTCATCTCTTCAGCCGCACTGATTTACTTGCACTGACCGGTTTTCTGCTGAAAACCGTGTCGGGTGTCTTCCCCCTCCTCCTCCTCCCGCCTTTCCTCGCTGCCCGGTCACTCCTTTTGTACCCTCCTTTTTTCTTTGGCTCCAAAGATGCCTAGCTCACTGTTCGCCGACTGCAGCGTGCAGGGAGATGCACTGGACGACCAGAGAGCCCTGCAGATCGCCCTGGACCAGCTCTCTCTGCTTGGGTTGGGCAACGACGACAACCCGTTGTACGACGACAGCAAGGAGCCTCGGACAAAGAGTGTCAACATGACTGAGTGCGTTCCTGTGCCCAGCTCTGAGCATGTGGCCGAGATTGTAGGCAGACAAGGTGAGTGTCCGGCCTTACCCTCTGTGGCGCCCTCGGCGACATTTTATGTGGCACCCCCGCCCCATCAGTGGTTTACTTGAATGAATACGTTAACACAACAGTGTTGTGTTGAACACCCAGGTTACAATATGAAATATATTGGTTTTATAATGCAAATATAACAATGAAAAACCTAGACGACACACAGAATTTTTTTCTGGATATCCATATACGGTTTAGATACAACTTAATGACAGTGAAACGTTGATGCAAAAACAAAAGCTGCTGTTGACGATGGCATGTGGGAATGATAAATCGAATGATAATAATAATAACAATAATAATAATGTGTACTTTCACGCTGATGTAAAGTTTAAACCAATGAATATGTTTTAGACAATTTGAACTGTGAAACAACGAACATCTAAAATATGAAGGAGCGAAAGAACTCTTTAAGAATCATGAAAATCGTTTGCTAGCCATGTGCAGATACAACAAATAGTAAAAGACACCTTCTCAATAGACTTCATCAAAGCAAAAATGTATTAATTTATTAATTATAAATTCTACTACGAATGAGCTATAACAGTGACGAGCCATCCATGATGACCAGCGACAGAAATATAAAAGTGGTTATTTAGTAGCCAACAGTGCAGGTTAATCACTGCAGAGGCAAGTTAGTCACAGTACGCTGCAAACTGACACAGTCCAAATGATGCCTCATTTCATGACCGTGTCTTTACTTTTTTGGTCCCATTTTTCCTCTGCTTCTTTTCTTTTTTTTCTCCCCCTGTGCTCCAGACAGTTTTAGTAGTTTTGACATGTTGACAACGTTCTTATCGATAAATTCAAGCCTCCCCCAACAGAAAGCGGGCAGGTACCAGTCAGCTGGAGGAGGATGGGGGGAGGTGGGGTGCTCTTTTGCTTTTATCATCTATAGCAGGCCGAGGCAAAATATGGCCCAGGGGCCATATCTGGCCCGCCCATTGTGTCTGACTGGCCCTCACAGTGCCCATGAAGTCAAAGTAAAACATAAAGTGTTATTATTATTTAAAAAGTTGTACTTTTATGTGCACAAGTGTGGAGTCTACTACAAGCAAGCAAGAGCTCTGACTTGTGTATGCAATGTTGCCAACTTGGCAACATTTTCGCTGTATTTAGCAACTTTTCCGACTCTCCGGCTACTATTTTTCCGAAAAAGAGACTAGCAAAAATGACAACAGTGGTCCTGTATCTTATTTTCTTCACAACAGAGGGAATTATCAGGCCATGAAGATTTGGCTTGATAATTCTGGACACAAATCTACAGTTTCATTTTCTGTATGCATTCGGCGTAATTTATAATGTAATTACAGTATGATTTTATAGTTCAAGTTCAAATTCAAGTCCACTTTATTGTCAAATGTGCTCGATGTGCAACATACAGCACAGATCCAATTTCTTTCCTCTCAACCACAGGAGAGAGAGAAGCCGCTGTGGGTGCTCGCGCTGCCATCAACAGAACAGTTAACATAAAATGACAAAATAATACAACACAACACATCAGACACAGACAGTCGTGCAATCTTAACCACTTTTTCTGCATATACTTTGTTGTTTGAAGCAGTTATAGATGAAAGAGGAGAGAATCAAAGTGTCCATAAACCATTCGATCAAATACATCTTGCTGAAAATGTGCACACGTCTGCTACAAGCAAGTTTGAAAGCAAACAAGAAGCGGCAGCGTCCATTAGCGAAAAAGAGATTAGCTCACATCTCCTTACCCATATAAATCTCCTTCAATTTCAAGTGGCGACTCCCAGTTCCACATACGCATCCCTTTCTTTTCGTCGTCGGCTCCACAAACCATCCTTCAATCCAGCCGCAGACTGTCCAACAGCACCGACGTTTCCGCTGAACAAAACGGGGCTGTGAAAAATGCTGCCCATTAGAGGCGCAAAAACATAAGCGACGCAGGGCTGTCCAGCACCAACAGTCAAATGGCACCAACATTCCTCCCAATCAAAATCAGTGCTGGTACACGCGTGCTGCCGAGAAGGTGCAACCACCAAGCACAGATTCTTCTCCTTTGACGAATGCCGTGGCCAAAAGATGCTGAAAACAATCCACATCAGGTCCACATGACGTAACAACAACACCATGTGAGAAAACAAAACACAAAAACAACAAAAAAAAAGCAAGGCTCTTTAAGAGCACTTGCCGACGACTGCCTACTTGGGCGCCATCTTGGAAGAAAAAAACCTATATAT